GCTAATGGAGAGACAGAAATTAAAGGAGATCTTATATGAGACATTCCGGGCACATTCTAGGTGCTCAAAACATGGGCTGAAAATGGGACTGGAAGGCTAGGCCCAGAGCTGGGAAGCCCAGCCCCCTCACTCACTTGGCCTTTCCATGGCAGGCCCTGAGACCTTCCATGCACCCCCAACAGCCCAGGTTGGGAGACATGGCCCATGAACCAAGGTCTCATCAGCTGGAAGTGAAGGTGTACTGGGGAGTGTCTCGACACTGGGGAGCCGCTCCAGGGGGTGGCTGAAGGATTCACCAGGTTCCTGCACAGAGAATCACAGCCAGGTCTGAGGGCTGATCAGTTTGCTGTGAACACAGATGAAGCCTGGGGGTGGGGATGGGGGTGTAATCTGCTTTATCCACACTGTCCCTGCAGCAGAAGCAGGTTTTTTGGGATAAGGAAGGCTCCCCAATGCCACCTCATCCCCATTACCTCTTCTTTGTCCTAACTTTCTCTGAACTCCCCACAAGAAAGAGGAAAGTAAGCCTTCCTATAAGAGCCATGATCACAGGTCACCACTGCTTCCCCCTTAGCACTTGGCTGGAGCCCACCAGACAGTGCAGGCAGCTGCTTCCTGCTTGTCCTCATGGAGTCTGGCCTCTATGAGGACGGGGATAGTGGAGCAAGGACCATCTTGAAGATAGTTTGCCATTTCAGAGCCCAGTCGTGGACTTTGGCAAGCCACTTAGCCACTCTGAGCCTTGGTTTCCCATCTGTAAAATGGGATTGCAATGCCTATCTGCAGGATTTGAGATACATTTTATTTGTCTCTGGTTCGTGGTCAATAAAAATGTTTTAACCATGTAAACTCTTGTTCAAATTACATCTCAGGAGAAACTCCAGTACACAAATCAGCTCTGTTGGAAGCAGGGGTGGAGGGCCCTAGGACCCCTCTACCACATCCTGAAGACCCAGAGAACCAGGTGTCAAAAGATCTGGCCCCTGACAAGCAACACAGGAGCCACCTGAAAATGCCACAGCAGAAAGAGGAGGTGGACAAGTTGTTTGATAAACTAGCATCAAAAGCTGTGCGTATCTCTAGGGGAAGCACATGCGGGTGTGGGGAGGGGAGGATACATGAGATTGCTCTGGGTGTGCTAAGAGGGGGAAGCTGCTACCAGGTGCCCACTGCCTCATCCCTGAGGCCCCCACTCTGCCTTCCTGTAGGAGATGGGGTTTAAAAAAATGAAAGATCTCCTTGCCATGGTTGCCTCTCACCCACTAAACCTACTTGTTCTCCATCCTTCACACAAGCACATCCCATTCCTGCCTCACCTTGCCTCCCCCTCTACCTGCCAGCTGGAATGCCCGTTTCCAAAATCTTTGTCTCTCCAAATTCACATGTCACCACATCTGGGAATCCTTCCATGTTTGTCCCCAGCCAAAAGTAGTATTCCTTCCTCTGACCTTCTCCAGTGTGAAGAGCAGTAACTAAGAGCTTGGGGCTCAGTTTTTCCATCTGTAAGATGGGAATGTGAGGACTTAGATGGTCCATGTAAAGTCCCAGCACTGTGTGCCTGGCACACAGTAGGCACTCAATAAACAGCAGCTGTTCACTGTGATGTTGTAGCCTCCCCCTCCACCAGGGCAGGACCACAGCTCCTTCAGGCTCTGGCACACAGTAGGCATCTACTGAATGCTCACTCAGGTGACCAGCAGGTGGCTCCACACCCCAATTAACCTGCCCTGATCAACTACTCTGAGCCTCAGCAAACTGGTTCCCTGAGTTTCCAACTTTCTGACTCTCTAGCTGCTTTCTCCTGGTGATGGAAAACAGAGAAAGGGCAGAACTGGCAGAATCCTGGCACCTTGACATGTCACCTAGCAGACATTTGGGCAACATTGGTGACCAAGGCCTTTGGACTTGCTGTCCCTCTCCCCTTTTCCACCACACGTTGCCCACCCTTGTGAGGATTACTCCCATTTAAAAGATAAGAAAACCGAGACCCAGCAAAGTGTGTGATCTGCCATCAACTGGTGGCAGCATGTGTGCCAAGGGTACAGAAAGGATCTGGCCCTACTTAATCAATGTCCCATTTTACTGATGAGGTTGGGGAACCTCAAAAAGTGGAACAGCCTTGCCCAAGGCCTCATGTAAACCAAAACTCAGGTGTCCTGGCTCTAAACTAAATAACCCAACCCCACCCTACCCCACTCGAAGGGAAGGAAGTGAACTTCCCAGACCCTTCCCTGGCTGCTGGCCTCAATTCCAAGGGGTGAACATGCTGAGTGCCCAGTGGGACAAAGGGAAGAATTTTACCCTGCTGGGTTTGAGGGCAGCTGTGAGGACCCACTAGAGATGCAAAGGCTCAGCCCAAGGCAGTCAGGTCTGGAGACAGCTACCCAGGGCCTATGCTTCCTCCCCATGCCTGCCAGAGAGAGTTTCAAGCAGGCCTGGGAGCACTGAGCTCCCTGCAGAGGTTGCGGCTGGCTGCATTTGAGGCTCAATTCTGACGCTGCACTGGAGGGGCTGAATCGAGGGTGGAGAGGGGCTGGTGTGGAATAGCAATGAACCAGCCTCCTGGAAGCCAGCCAGCACCAGGTTTGCAAGACAGAGAACTCTGCTGTCAGCTGGGTCAGGGGAAGCATCACTGGGAAGCAATCTCTGTCTCTCTCTCAACCTCTCTCTCTCTCTGTCTCTCTCTCTGTGTCTCTCTGTCTCTCTCTCTCTCTCTCTCTCACACACACACACACACACACAGCTGGGTCAGGGGAAGCATCACTGGGAAGCAATCTCTCTCTCTCTCAACCTCTCTCTCTCTGTGTGTCTCTCTGTCTCTCTCTCTCTCTCT